GCCACCTTTTACCTTTGTATGTTGGTCCATTTGGTGATGTGCATGGAGGCATGATAGGTTGTTATATGTCTTCTGGTTGTTTGATGGACAAAGAGTGGCAAAGTAATGAGGTGTCACCACTAGTCAAATCTTGGGTTATGCATCCAAGAACCGATTTTTTTCTAGTTCAAGATAAGGTTTTCGGTTTTAGGGTGGCTGAAAACACCCTCCACTCACACAGGTTTTCGGTTTTGGAGATATGGGTTTCTCGGGTTTTATATGGTCCAATAAGAAGGGTTTTCGGTTTCAATATGGCCCAAAGAAAAGGCTTTTCGGTCATGGGTTATTTGGGCCGAGAATTTATAAGCAAAGGCCCAAAAATTGGGTTTTGTTTAGCTATTAGATCAAACTTGAGCTTATACGATTCTTAGTGTATGCATATATGTACTCATATAACATTGTCATTTTTGAATTACAATAATCCATTTCAACAAGGTTACATAGAAAAGTGTGTTTGTACATGGATACAATCTCGACCCTAAATTTGCTAGTTGTGCAGTTAGTTTTGATCCTTTCGGTAATGAACAAGATCCTAAGTTTCATTCTTTTCAAGTAATCACATTCCTTCATTAACCCCATTACCAATTTATCTTTACTCACTATAGCCTCTTTGTATGACTGATGCTCGTTTGTATAAATCGCTTATAGCAAGTTACTACTAATTGATTATTTATTAGTATAATTTGATTATTAATAAATCTTATCAACACTTGTTTTAATTGGAAAAAACATTTTTTTATAAATTAATATTTTCTCTTCTCACATTTGGGAATTATGTTTCTAGGAAATAATAATAAAAGAGAACAAAACTAGCTTAAATATATTATGGTATGAATATTAATGTTGTGTACAAAATTTTGGTCACTTTTAGTAACCATTAAATTGTCATCCAACTAGCTAGTTATGAAAAGGTAATGAATAATTGAAACTTATCCATTAAGCATCAAGGGCAAATTTTTAGGGGACGAGGCATGTGATTGTTTTTTATTAGTTTAATGAATAGACCATGCTTGTGAGAATGCCCCATGCTCTCACTATTTTAAGTCTTGCTTATGTGTTAAGTGTTTGTAAAAAGAAGGCATGAGACATGAAAATGAGTTAGTTCTTTTCGCTTGTTTCTTCTTCTCTTTTTCTCTCCCAAAGTCGAGAATCCAAGGGGTTCTCCCCCCTCCATCTCTGCATTATTGGTGCATGTTCTTGGTAGAGTAAGTTACTTCTCTTTAAGAACTTATTTAGTATATAAGTCTTAAAGTTTAAGAACAACTCATAGAAGTGGAAGACTAGCATCAAACTATGGTTCACTCGTGTGTTTGGTGGATATATTATAGATGACTTTTACTTACTTAGAGTTTTTGTATCATTTTTATCAACTTCATAATTGTCAAAAGGAGCCAAAGTCTTCAAAGGTTATAAACTTCATCTTTCCTTTGGTTATGTTTTAATCTTTCTAAGTCTTGCAAAATAATCATTGGTGGGTTTAAATTGGTTTTAGTTTATTCAAATTAGAAAATGTTTTCGTTATTAATTACGTTAATTTTGTCACTAAAAATTGACTAATTTTGAATAAAATCCCCACACATACGTCGCATTTTTGAACTATTAACTCTTTGTTTTGGGATTTGGAACCTTATTTCTACACTTGAACTCTATTGAAGTATTTTTAAGCTAAAATCAATTGGATTTTATAAACTATTTTAAAACACCCCCGTGTGAGAGTTGTTTTCAAGAATGGGAACACAACGTGCTTTTACCAACAATAGACCTATCACTAGAGACATACACACATACATACAAAGAAATGACAAAGAATGAAAACATTGAAATGATTGTGATTAATGAAATAACTGAAATCAAATAATCAAAAACATTGTGTGAAAGAGACAACTACAAAGAAAAAAAGATCATGTAAACAATGAGTCTTAATATAAATAATCAACATATTCTGAGATTCGTTTAGATGTGATTGATTAAGTTTATGAGTGCATCATGTTTTGACTTTGAAGATAGGTCAATTACACTGGATGAGAGTGTTTGTGAAAGCGAGAGAGCCTATTATCAGCCAACCTGGTCTTGTAGGTGCATGATTTATACTCAAACCAAGTGAACTCATTATACAAACTTTTTCATCAGGCTCCATGAGTGAATCCAATGGCGAGATCTTCTCCATCAATGGTGGACCTCCAAGTATATCATTGACACCCTTGATTTGAAACTGTCTGCAACCACCCTATGTCTTACACTTTTAAATCTTCCGTTTGTCATTACCTTCACTCAAATCAAAAAAATGTTATTTTTTTTATATAAAAATTGTTCAATTTAAATTTACTATGCTGAAAATGGATTAAGTGCGTAAAACAATAAAGTTTAGCTAATAAAAAAAATAGGCCAATAAGGTCAAAAGTTGCTTAGAATGTATATTCAAATGATGAAATGATTATAAAATTATAAATTGCTTTATTCTAAAATGTTGAGTATCATTTCGATATTAATTTTTATAGTCATGGTTCATATATAAAAATAATTCAAGAAATTTTAGAAAACAGATCAACCCATTCTGTTTTGACAGATTCTAAAATTTTACCCATTTTGAACTACCTATGTTGTCACTAGTACTCTAGTAGAATTACTACAACTTTTTAAGGAAAACCAGGTTGTAATATTAGATAGCGCGTAACTGAATACAACCAAATGTATATTAAAGATCGTATGAAAGGAACACTCTTTTATTAGATAAGATTGTTTTGATAATTGATTCTTGAATCACTAATCATTAAGTTTAGATGTTTCTAATAGACCAAAATACATTTTTAGATCAAAAGATAATTGTTAAGAAGACGATATGAACGTATAAAGGTGGACTATCCGATATATATTTTTCATTTTGTATAATTATATAGAAAATTAAAACGTACACTTACAAAAAAATATTTAAGATGGTGAACATTGGCTATTTGTTATTGTGGTAAAACTAGTTAAATATAAATATATGAGTTATAATTGTCTCTCTAAAAAAAAAAATCACCTCTAACAAATCATCAACGTTGATGAAATAGGATGTCTCATCTTGTGGGACTGCGACCCAGTTCCATCTTCAAGATAATTTGAAAGCCTGATGTGGCATTGGATCTAGCAATCGATATAAGTTGTGGGTCTGTGTGCTCTCCAAATCCAATCGAGGTTCTTCCGTGGCTCATGGACCTATTGTTCAGGTCTAGGTCTGAGTCAGGGTTAGAGTCAGAGCATGGTGGATAGTGGTTAAGCCTAAAGACTATGTCGGCTTTCTCATCGCTTAGCATTCGGCTTAACACATTCTTTGGCTCTATCTTAAGGCCCTCCGCCATTAACTCAAGTATATTACACCCCATTTTTCTTACTTCTTTTACGTACTCATTTACTAGTGACCTTCACAACACAAAAGGAATAACAATATAAAATTCAATTGTAAATGTTTGTATAAGCTAATGGTGTTGTCCTCATTTTTTAAGGTCAAAACTATAGTGAAATTAGACATAGTTTACGAATATATTAGATTTGTCGTTAAAAAAAACATATTATTTATTTATGTATAAACTTATAACGTAGTTTCTTCAAGTAATTATTTGAAAAACTTGTTATATAAATAAAGACTCAAATGCATCCCGTTAGGTTTTAATTTGTCCATGTTTGATTATTTTGTGATTTTATTCCCACTTTTTTCTAAACAAAAACAATGAAAAAATATATTTTGTTTCTCAAGGTGCAATATATGATTCAATCTATAATCTAGTAAAATTTAACAAATAATAAATAGAAATACATAATATTGTATGAAGATATATGATTAAAAAGTTTATAGACCAAACTGGTTTTAGCGATAAGATATATAGCATTTTAAAACAATTAAAATAAGATATAATGAAAAGTTTGTCTTCCGTCAATATCTTGACATCTGTGATTTTGTAATAAGAAATTTGGGTTTTTTAAATTGAATAACCCATTTCTTTAAAAATGAAAAGTTGTATGTTTGCTAACAACACTCCAGAAACAAGTTGACCGCAGTTTTGAATCTTTGAATGCAAGTATACTCCGTGCGTCACAGGGCTCCGACATATCAAAAAGTTGGTAATTAAATATTTGATATTAATTATATATAGTTAGGCGACGACATAAATCCTGTTATAGTTAGTGATATAACTACATATTAAAAAATATATTTCAAGATAAATTATTTTGCATGAACTCAATAGATTACACAACTTATATAGTAATTATTAAATGCACAAACATAATGAGAAAGTAGATCTTACGAAAAGATTTTGGAGTTCATAGGGAAATTAGTGGAAGTAAAAAGAAGATACTCAACCCATCCAACGTCTCCATTTAGTCCAATTTTGTTCCTTCCGTACCCAAACGGGTTCGGAGGACAAAACTGATCTTTCTCATACTGTCTCATGTTGGAGAACTGAATAGCTTCTTTTTCCAATTCAGATACAAGCAATGGTGCCACACCATGGTTTATTACTTTAAAAAAACCATAATCTTGGCACGCATTAACAATTAGATTCTTGGCGTCTTCGGGACGTGAAAGGTCAATAACTGGGATTCCAGTAATTTGGTTTTGTTTGATTTGGTTGGAAATATATTTACCAAAGGCTTCTTTTCTATTTGTGAAATTATCACCATGTTGATGGTTTGGTGTCAATAGAAAGAGGAATTATCTGCCTATTTATACACTTTTAGGGGGCAAGTTGAAGTTTTCATACGGACACATGAGCATGCATACACACGTACGTGGCCATGCTCTCACATTATATATATTTTTATTTTATTTGTTGATTTGTTTATTGTTATCTGAACATTAAACTTTTCTTATTTGGTTTATTATTTAATGTGTTAATTCACTTGATAATATTGATAATGGCAGCAAGCTATTCAACAACTTCCACCCCCCTTCACATGTTTTAGTGCCTCCAAAGCTTTCCTCTTCTCCTCCAAATCAGAAAACCAAAGGAAATATAACAAATAAGAAAAGTTGTCAATTAAATTGCAGTTATGTGGGTTGTCATAATACATAAATAAACAAAAAGTTAATTGTTATTTTAGAAGTATTGAACTTACTAATATCATTTTTGTTTTAAGTAATGTTTGTTGTTGATAGAAAAAAAAACTAATCTTGAATTTAACTTAAAATGATATGTAATAATGTGTTTTATAGATTCGGTAAAAAGAAGTTGGTTTCTTATACAAGTCTGAAAGCACAGTGACTTGAAAGAGTTCTAGTGGTAGTTCACCAAATATGTCCAACGCAAATATCTTCCGAAATAAAACCAACAATTTCTTTACAAGTCAAAAATGTGAAGTGCTTATTTAATGTCAATTTTTATAGGAAAATCATAAACAATGGTCACGTTCACGTTTCAACTTAAAAGTTTTAATAATTTTTAGAGTAAATACACGAATGGTCCCTATGGTTTTGGTACTATGCTCGTTTGGTCTCTAACTTATTTTTTTAACTCGGAAGGTCCCTACTGTTTGTTTTGTTATGCGCTTGGTCCCTGTCTTACCTAAAAAGACTATTTTGCCCTTGATTTTTTAATTTATTTAAATAAACACACCCCCAAACTCATCCCCTTCACCTTACTACCTTATTCACCCCCACCATTTTTCTCTATTTAAATAATAGTCTTTTTAGGTAAGACAGGTACCAAACGCGTAACAAAAACAAACTGTAGGGACCAAGCGCATAACAATAACAAACAGTTGGGACCTTCCAAGTTAAAAAAATAAGTTAGGGACTAAGCGCGCAAATTACCTCAACCATAGGAACCATTCGTGTAATTTACTCTAATTTTTACTCTTCCCACATTTGATTTTAAGAGGAAAACCAAGAAGTAAAAACATCAGCCTAAAACAAATGATAATAATATAAGCAAAAAAGAAATAGGAAGTTGTTTCAAAACTGTACTTTGTTCTTTTTTATTGCATTGCATTGCATTTTCAAAAATTCCACCCATTTGTTGCGTATTCATCTTGCTGTAGTTGAATAAAAAATATAGTAACAGATGCTACTTACACATATAAACTGAAGGTAAACTCACATCAGCTTTCTGGATAAGGTTTTGTGCAGCATCTTCAAGTTTGAAAATGTCAAATGAGGTTGAATTCATACCAACAATAAATGTCAAACGACAAATCCCCAAATACGCAATAGGAATTTTAATAATAATATCAATTGAACAAAGTACGGAACATTTGGATGTTAACAGCTAATTCCAATTTACAAGTTGTCAGATAGAGAAATTAGAAGAGAAATGTGAAAGAGAATGTTATTTGAATTATAAAAAAACAACTTACATTAAAATCAGTCGATAGAGAAGATGAATCTCATCGTCATAACCTAAATGCACCTGCAAACGATGATGAAAATCAAATGTACTTTTCCTATTCGTTTTCTTCTTCGTCCTCGAAATGTTAAAAGAAAAAAGAGAAAAACGAGTTACAGAAGCAAGAGGTGGAACAGGGAGTAGCGAAAAAATACAAAAATGCATCAACAGAAATTATTGAAGATTGTAAATAGATTTATGGAAAGAGTAAAATGAGATGACATTGAAGCATCAACGAAAGACATAGCAGCTTGTTGACAATTGACAACTAAAAATCCAGAGGATAAGATCCTGGGAATGGATAAATCGACGAGCCTCATTAAAGAACTGAATAGGAAGAGAAAAGAAAATGATCGCTTTGAGAAGAACCTGGTGGTTAAGGCCAATTTTGAATTATGAATAATCCAGGAGTTATCTTGGGGAGAAGCATATTCTTGAACATAAAGGATGTTTTGGAAAATGGGAGATCGTAATACTTGGCGAGGCTACAAGGAGATGGTGGCGAAATCACAATCACACATGGCTAATAAAAGCAAGCGATTGAACATCACATTCTCACCACCACTTAATTCCAAAATCTAAAAAAAAACGATGCCAAATTCTCAAACCATCTTTTATATTCACTTTTCTGGTTACCATGTCCTTTGGGCTAAAGAACAATATTCCACTGTAGCAGCCCAAACATAAAATAGCTCAAAATGTGGAGTTGTGGACTATCCATTATTCCCAAAAAGTTTCCCAAATGACGATTCTTTTATCTATTTTCTATTTATCTCTTATAAAAACATAATATTTAAATGAATATAATTCAAGATAAGTCTCATTTTTGTATTATATTTTTTTGAAACCTCGATAATCTTTTATCTTTCAAGTAAATAGTTTTCATTCAAGAATTTTTGGAATTTATATCTTTTATTACTAAGTAATTGAATGATAATTGAAAAGTTTTTATTTACTATAAAAAGTTTCATCATATGAGTTACATACAATTACAAATCACGTGGAGGAACATATTCACATGGAGGACATGTGTAAAGCTAAGGCGGGGTATGGTAACATGATTCGTTTTTTTGGTTGGACGTGCGGCTGGAAGAGGAAGCTTTCAAGGTTCAATTTCCACGGGTGTTTGCTCTTGATCCAGACCCGAGAGCTTTGGTTGTTGATCGGGAGCTCTAGACTAAAGTTGATTGATGCGTTTGGCCCTAAAACTTAGAAGTGGAGGTACAAGTGCTCAGTTTGAGTCTATTTTTCTTAAGCTTCAACAAGTTATGTTCAGTGACGTTAGGGATACGTATGTATGGGAACTTGAAATTGATGGTAAAGTTCTTGGTTTTGTCTTTGAGATTATACTTGGATGACATTATGTAACGCCCTGTTCAGAATCGTTTCCTAATGCAAGATGGTGACCCAAAGACCGAGTATCATAAGGCGTAGGGCTTTGAGGAAAATAGATTTAGACCAATTTGGGTATGGGTAATGTAATTGGATGATCCGGGAGTTCGGTTTGTGTTTTGGTGCCAAGGGGTAATTCGGTAAAGTGTCAGTTCGGGCTTTAATGGAAATTGGATTTTTGATGGAGAAGTTTAAGGCAAGTATAAGTTCATAGAAGTGTAGGCTTCTCGTTACCTTTCCGTGAATATAAAAACGTCGAAAACGAATAAGGGATGCAACGTTATGATCATTTGAAGTTAGAAGGGTTTTAGACCAAACCTGGTACGCATGGCGTACCAGGTGGGAACACATGGCGTTCAAAGGAAAATGGACGCAGGCCAACATGGGAACGTTGGGCGTTCCCTAAGAGAACGCAGGGCGTTCGCGGGGCTGTTTCAAAAACTTGTTTTTAGGGTTTGGCCCCTTTATAAGCATCATTATGGACGCAAAACCTCTTCCATTCTTCAGCCTCCATCCTCTCTAACGCTAAGAACGAAACCCTAGCCCCCATTTGAATGATTCTTGAACTTCAAGGTGATTTATGTGTGTTTTTTGGTGCTTAAGAGGAAGAAGGAACTTCTTGAAGAGTCATTGCTGATTTGGAGCTTTTAAATCCGGCTTTGTTCACCTTGTTGGAAAAGTGTCTGAGGTCATTAACTATTGTTAGTACTTCTGATAATAACATGGTCCTTTTGGGTTGCCCTCAAGACCCAAATTGAGTAGAATAAATAAATGAGAAATTTGTTTATTAAATTATTGTGGTTAATTATTAATAGAAACTACCTGGAAATATATTTTGGGAATTAATTAACAGTTTAACTAATTAAAGGGTTGAATATTCATTAACCGATAATTGGCTAATCATGAATGTTCCAAAACCCTTATGGGACTAGGGTTGGAAGAAAATCATCTCCATCCCACATGGGAAAAAGAGTGAATTATGTGGTTATGCTCCCATCCCTCATGGGAAGGAGTACAAAACCTAGGATGGGATCCAAGGCTATAAATAGGGCATTAGGGATTTCATTTATTCTTCCACATTGGCTTAAAGTTTCCGCAACTCTTTTCCTCTTCCTCCTCTAGGGACTATTTCTAACCCTCTTTTCGGTTTGTGAAATTGACCCTTCTCTTAGTTATTTTTATTCCATTCTTTGGTGTCATTGGGTGTGATACATTAGAGGGATTTTGGTTTGGGTCCTCTCATCCAAACAACTTCATGGAGGATCAAGATATCAAGTATGGAGATCAAGGACTACATAAGAGGTATGTTTTCTTCTTTTTTTTGTTTTATGTTTTTCTAGGGTAGATGTAATTAGCATTAACCATAGATCCATATGTTGTATGTACACTTAGTATATCGTAGTTTCGATTTTTTCCGCTACCTAGTTTAGAGTATATTTGATGCATAGAAAAACCCAACAGTGATATCAGAGCCATTGGTTGATGATTACCTTCATCCTAGATCCATATTTTCTGAAAATACTTGTTTGAAATTGAATTAAAGAAGAATAATTAAAAAATTCGTAAGTGTTAAAACCTAATCGCTGCTCACGGCGTGAGAGCATGGGCTCACAACGTGAGCGCGGGCAGAATTAGGGTTTCGATTTTTTCTTCCAGTTTTCAAATTAGAAGTTTTAAT